AGAGTGTGTATAGAGATAAAGTGTAGAGAGAGAAATTAAGAGGGAGAGAGAAAGAAAAGTCGTCCGTGTCAAAGACGCCCCTAAACTCACTTAACAAAAGCGTATTTATACTAAACTAAAAAACTAAATCAAAGAAAAAGTTAAAACAAAATAAAAATCCTAACGTAAACACGCGCCCGGTCGGGCGAGGCATCGCCCGGCCTCGCGTGCCTTTTTCACACTTAAAGCCTTGCTCGCGCCCGGTCGGGCACGCATCCGGGCGAACCTTCGTCCTATGGTCTTCTCCTCTCGCCCGGCCGGGCGCGCCTCAGGGCGAGGGCACTGCCCGGTCGGGCGGATGCTTGGGCTTACTCTTCTTCGTCCTTTGGGTCTTGTTGCCTTAGCCCAATTCGTCATCCTTCTTGGATCGAGTTGCCCAAGCTCTAAATCTCCTCATTGAGCCCTTAATCACCGGATTGAATCATCAATTACGGTACGGTCTTGGGCTTCGAAACACGATCATATAAATACATTTCAACTCTAATGCTCGCGGTGGCTCTACTAAATGCCGGGAAATGCACCAAATCTGCAATTTCCTGTAAAAAATGCCACAACTACGAAAACACTAGAAAACGCGTATTAGTAATAAAGTTGGCTCCAAAGAGCCAAAAATACTCCTAACTATGATAACGGAACGGTGAATAAATATATATATATAATAGACTTATCATGTAGAACTCATTACTTTTCCAAAAATTACAAAATTTTAGGACGTGGAGTCCAACGCAAAAAGAATCACTCAAAAATTCCAAGTAGAACGTTCCTAGTTTAAGTTTTGCCGAAGTTGTTTCTAATACCAAGATGATGCGTATGCTTAAGAGATTTTAACACACACAAGGATAATTCAAGCCTAATTCTCTATAGGATTCGTCCACCAAGAATTAAACAAGAAGACAAGTAGATTAAGTAAGTTAAAGGTCACGCCACCCCTTAATTAATCAACTTAAACAAAGCTTAAAGAACTTAATCACCAGCTTCAAGAAACAAATGTTTTGATTGCAAAACAAACAAATACTTTGATATAATAATCTGAAAAATTCTATATCTCCAAACGATTTATAGCCTAAAAACTAACTATTTCTAAGTCTAATAAGACTAGGACAAGCCTCTAGCCTTTAGCCCCAAGTAACCCAAATAGAATGGGAAAACTAGTTCTACTTAGATTAGGAAACTAATTCTAATTCTACTTAGTCTATAATTCTTAAAATAAATAAAATTAATCCTAAGCGCTTAAACTAAGAAAAACCCTTTCAAGTGAAAGGTAAAAACTTGCAAGAAAAAACTAATTAAATAGCCCTAAGTAGAGTGATCCGGAACTTGAGCTTGTACTAGACACCAAGTTCCTATACCTGAATCGTCAAAGAACCGCCAATTTGTAGCTTCTAATGAGTTAATGTTCAAGTTTAGGTTTTCCTTGTAAAGATTTAACAAACTCTCGAATTTCTCATCAATATCCGGATCTATCAAAGCTTTGACCTTGACTTGTTTTTAAAACTAATCTAAGGCTTTTATTGTTTGATTGAAATTTTTATCATGGAAAATCATTAAGAAACAATTTTAATGGAAAACGTGATTCTGAAAAGAATTTTCCTTTGTTTGTTTGATTATAGGAAAACTTATAGGAAAAAAGAAATATGAAAGTAAAAAGGAAGGAAAGGATAAAAGAGAGAAATAGAGAAGTGAGGAGTAACGTGGAAAATGTGGCTTGTGCCACATACATACTTTACATAAGGTTTTTAGCTTTCCTTCTACAAAAAGTAACTTTTCACCTATGACAAATCGATTTCCGCCCTTTAATAAAACAAGCAAAAATTAAATGGAGAAATGAATGAAAATAATAATTTTCTAATCTAATAATTTCCATTAAAACAAATAGAGCCTAAGTGTGTAATCTTGTTAAGTGAAATTGTGGTGGCAAGGGTGTTTATGATGTGAATTAACAAAACAAGCAAAAGAAAATGGAGAAATGAATGAAAAAAAAAATCATTTTCTACTCGAACTATTTCCACCAAAACAAAACGAGCCTAAGTGTATCTTGTTGAGTAAAATTTGTGGTGGCAAGGGTGTTTATGCTGTGAATTAAACTCGCTTGTCTCAAAAGTTTGTCCTTGATTCAAATAGAGCTCAACTCTAGAATGGCTTGAAAATGATTGGCTAATTGTTATTAAGTTTTTTATTTATTTATTAGTTATAGTTTAAAAAGAGTGCTCTAATAGTCCAATGATGTGACTCAAATAAATTAACATTAGGAAATGTGTACCTTGTATGTTAAATTGTTGATATCCTTTTAGGGAAGATGATACACATACATCTTGGATGTATATGGCTTCCACATACATGAGGCTTGATATTGTGACAACTCCGCACTTGAGTTTTTTGATAAGCAGGAAACAAACTTTGTTTTTTTTTTTTTTTTTTTTTGTGGGGGGGGGGGGTGGTACTTTTTGCTTCTTAGCACAAG